CCTCGCGCGCAAGTCACCGGAATTGCCTTCATCTTGCTGAAGCACACCGTCGACATCGTCCAACTGTTGTATGGCAGCCTGTAACCATAAACATGTCACATGGTAGGTGCGCTCTACCAAAAGAGGGTCCTGATCAGGCCTAGGCGCAGGCTCATTTCCGTTCGATCTCTCCTCCGGTCTTTTTTACTCTCTCCTGTCCACAGGCCTAAATTAATGAGAGCAGAAAGTGCGATAGATGCTGCGCAAGTCTACTATCACTTTAAACTAATTCGCGTACCCTTACCGTCCCTGCACCCACCCTGAAGTTAGGCCAACTGCGGACATAGTCGGATGTTGAGTTGTCTTACGGCCACATGGGATAGATATTCTAGCCTGAAAAGAAGACGAGATCACTGGGACAGGAATTTTATTCCGCTGACATTTCGGACTCCGGTTCGAACCCATCTTCGGAGGCGGTATCAGGTAAGTGATAATACCTTCACCCTCAACGAAAGAAATCAGGTGCTTACTTTCGAAGAACGTCTTCACGACGCCAGTTTACGATGAAGAAGGAAATAAAGAACCAAATGGCCTTCCCCAATGTCCTTAGCTACCGCGAAGATTTCGGTAGCTTAAAGAACAACGTGTTCAGAAAAGCGACAAATACTACGCAAGCATTGAAGTTCAACCGAAACCGACCAATCAGCCAAAAATACAGTTGTGCAGGGACCTTATATCGGCGTGTTGAGACACACTGCATACAACCGAAAATTCTTCGATGGGTTTTTAGAGCAAATGACTACCCACGCAAAGTTGTCGACCGGTGCATGGCATACAGATTAGAAGCAACCATCAGGCGTTAGGGCCCAAGGGACCCATTGCCACAAGAGAAAACATCTGGACTCATTTTCCCGATCTGGTGTAGTTGCAGGCAAAGTGACTAAATCGGAGAAAGTGGAAAATTGTTCCGGACGCGAAGTTCCAAACACGCGGCAGGAGTGCGGATTACGCTCATTCTCAGGTGGTGACCCATTTGATGAGACCCAACCGCGCATTCAAGTTCGATGAGGCCCAAATTATCGCGAGAGGCGACAATTATGTGAGCCGCGAATTGCTTGAGTCATGGTTTAGCGGCCCCCAATTTATTAACAAGTGCAATGAACTGCTCACCCCATATTCGAAGCTGAGACTTAGTTTGGCTAAAGCAATCAGCCACTCGGGCAGACCGCAGGGGAACACACTTCCCAACGCCAAGGCTGATGAGTCAGGTGACCGAGCAATCATCACGTCGAACTCCCACACGGGATGAAATTTCAGCGGGTAACGAATCGTATGCCGACCATCGAGCATTAAGCTTACCGGAGTGCAATCAGCCTCGATGAAAGGGGAGTCATTTATTGTCATAGGAATACAGTAACCTAGCGATTGCATGTCATAAATACTGCAACTCCGAGCGGATAAATTGCCGTTACCTGATACTGTTTATGAAGACGGGTTCGGGCTGGAATCCAAAACTTCAGGCGAATAAACTTATTGGCCCAGCGATCGCGCCAACTTATTCTTAATTACTTTCTGGGACTCGTATTTTCGCTTGTATAGCCTGGCTCCTTCACTGCTGACGGTAGTTCATGTATACGATTGGAGACCTACTTGATACCTTGGCCAACTTGACTGCATAACAAATGACATATAGATTTCGCAAGGGAAATTTTGTGTGGCGGCATTTAACCCTATTCCAAATGTACTCCTCTGTCAAGTAATGTTTTTGGCAACTTGAATACAGATCAAAGACTTGTTCATCATAAACCATCCGAAAACTAAGCACAGAACACCGAGTTGCCTGGGAGTTTTTTGGCCAATTCACTTTACTCCGCCTGTGAAACATTAGTATTCACTTCTTCTAGCAAGCTTGCCTCCTTCATCACCACTGATTCCAGAAACTCACATCTGACATTTCTCGATTTCTGCCATGGGCCTGGCGTCTTAGTTAAGTGTTTTGCTTCCTAAGGGAGTGAGGAGGTGATCTCCAAGACGAACGGTCTAACATGACCAAACCAGGTAAAAACGGCAAATCAAGCACTTGCTTCAACATTTTTCTCAAGCTGAATTACGAGAGCCTGCATAATAAAGGGGTTTCCAAAGCAAAACTTGAAGCAAATGTAGAAAGTCCTGCCTCTGGCAGATCATTCTGTGTTCACTTGGCCAAATTCATTAGGTTAGAACATACATAATGCTAACCTCTTGGAGGATGTCCTGAGCGTCCACATCACGAACGATCTCTTCTTTGCTGGTTTCCTGCAGCTCACCTGCAAGTAGTAGTTCATCGAGTACGAAGTAGGCCTTCTCGAAGTGAAATATGATATCCAATTCACATACCTAAAAAGAAATACCCATTATGAAGCCCAAGTATGCAAACAAAGTTTGTGTAAATGCTCTCGGAAATTGAGTATCTTGTTAAGACAAACGAACGGGCAAATTCCAAGTAGCAGTTCAGAAGGAGCAGATTTGATTGCTGAAACAGGAATTCTATTAGCCTGACGTTTCGTATTCTCACCAAAAAAATATCATCAGAGACAATTGCAGAAAGAGATGATCGATACACAGAGTGCACAGTACTTATAGTCCGTAGTGGCCACGCGACCACATGCGCACTACAATTAGCAGATCTTGTGATCACCGCTAGGTCAGGAGGCCGAAAGACCCACTGCTGCGGCAGGTGTAGTTGCTGGTCTCGGAGAGATCCAGCATGCATCAACGACGAGGAGAAGGAAAGACGCTAGTTCCTAGGTTGCAGCTCACTCTATGGGACACGACCATATTTTAAAGTTTAACGAGACCGAAATCCTCACAAGAGGTGACAACCGCGTGAGCCGCGAACCACTTGAGTCATAGTTCTCGGGCCCGGAGTCCATCAACAAGCACAATCACATGCCGTTCCTACATGTTCTACTGAGAGGTTGCCTGAGCAGGGGTATCAGTCACGTGGGAGGGAGGCGTGATCTGCCAACAAGTTCGA